TCAAACCACCTAATCCTAAAAATTCATCCCTAAATCCTGGTATCTAGTGAAGTGACCATTTTTCACTGACGAAAAGTTTAGAATTGGCATCTTAGGGTTTTATTTATTTATTASTTTAGTTTATAGAATAAAGTTTAGCTTTAGTCAATATCTTTTGAAGCCATTTGTGTTAGGTTGTGTCAGGCATAAGCACAGACTTTCAATGTTACTGGATATATCTTTATATTTGTCCCCTTTTGTCCAAAAGGAAGGGAAAAAAAGAGAGACAAGGTGTGTGTGGGGGGACAAAGATGATCTTTTGAAATTGACAATATATTTTTGAAAAAATATATTAAGGGGGATTGAACTTAAGGGTGCTTTACCATTGAGATACACCCCAGACCTTGTTTTTTTGTTTTTTTTTTTTTTTATTTTGAGACAGGGTCTTGCTGAGTTGCTTAGGGTCTTGCTAAGTTGCTGAGGCTGGCCTCAGATTTATAATCTCCTTTCCTCAGCCTTCTGAGTTGCTGGGATTATAGGTGTTTACTACCACGCCTGGCTAAAATTAATGATTTTTATTATTTAGTTGAGAATATTCTTATTTTTTTAATTTAAAAAAATAGCATAATTTACATATAGTATATCACAMCCATTTTTAGGAATAGTTCTGAATTATAGTTCTTTGTTTTTTTATTTGGTGGAGAGGATTGAATCTGGGGCCTTACACATGTTCTATTACTGAGCTGTTGATCTCTGGTACAACAATTTTGCAGGTATCCCATTCTAAGACATATAATCAGTTATTAATTTAAGAGAACTTGATTTAAAAAGAATTTTTTTAGTTGTAGATGGATACAATACCTTTATTTTTATTTATTTTTTTATCTGGTGCTGAGGGATTGAATCAGTGCCTCACAAGTACTAGGCAAGTGCTCTACCATTGAGCTACAACCCCAGCCCTGATTTTTAAAAAAAAATATTTATTTTTTAGTTGTAGTTGGACACAATGTCTTTATTTTATTTATTTATTTTATGTGGTGCTGAGGATTGAACCCAGGGCCTCGCACGTGCTAGGCAAGCGCTCTACCGCTGAGCCACAATCCCAGCACCCCCAGCCCTGATTTTTTTTTAATTATTTTTTTTTAATTATTTTTCAATAGAAATTCATATTTAGAAGCTAACTGTGTAAGTCAGGATCTATGCAGGAAAACAGAAACCTCACTAGTTCTTTTGAAACAGATATTTTGATTTAGGGAATTAGTTAAATAGGTATTGGAGTTCTGAAAAGGGAAAAAGAGAAAACAGAAGTAATAGAAGATAGTAACTGTAGGAAGCAAGTACAACTTCTAGGGCTGGGGAATAAAGGGAAACTGTTAGGCTTATTAGAACTTGGAAACTTGGAAAATAGGCTGGTGGAGCTGAAACCTAAATTGGGTGCCAGTTGTACCAATTGCCTTTTTTCCTTTCTCTACTGAAGCCAATTCCAAGAACCTCATCCATGCTACAAGTGCTTTATCACTGAGCTATACCCACACCACTAGCTTTCAAGAATATTTTCTAATGTAGCTTTTAAATTTCTTTAATGGATACTTGTATGTATTTCTCTTTCCTTAGTAGTTATTTGTGGGCTAACTATGCATGTTACCAGAATCAACTTCCTATTTAGACTAACTTAATTCCAGTGATATGTAGAAATAAATGTTACTTCTATATAATTTTATATCCTTTTCTCCTTTATGATATAATTGTTATCCATACTCTATCTATAAATGTTACTTACCCATTGTTACTTATTATACTTACTAATTTATATAATTTTATGTTTTTTAAAGAATCTGAGAGAAGAAAGGAGAGCAAGTCTATATGTTTTAATATATTAGCGTTTCTTTGTTGGGGGATATTGGGTTATATTGGAGATTGAATCTGGGGGCATTCTACCACAGAGCTACATCCCCAACCCTTTTTATTTTATTTTGAGGCAAGTTCTCATTAAATTGTCCAGTCTGGCCTCAAACTTGTGATCCCCATTCTTCATCCTCCTGAGTGGCTGGGATTATAAGCATGTGCCACTATGCCTGATTTAACCTTCTTATCATTTCTGGTATGGTGGTGTATTGAGTGGTGTCAAAAATATCTCTGACACTCTTTTTGTTCAGTCTTCTTTTTCTTCTGTTCTTCAGATTGCATTATCTATACCAATCTATCCTTCAAGTTTGCTAATTCTTTGTTCTGCCATTTCAAATCTCCTGTTGAGYCCCTCTAGTGAAAGGATTACTTTAGTTATTGTACTTTTCAATCCCAGAATTTCTTATGGATTCTTTTTTTAAAAGTTGTTATTTGGAGTTGCTATTCTCTATTTTTTGCAACATTGTAATCACACCTTTCTTTACTATTTTAATCAGTTTTCTTTAGTTCTTCAAACAGATACATATAATGGCTACTTTGAAGTTTTTTTGTTTCTTTATTTTGTTTTTTTTAATCTGACATCTGGTCATATTCATGAACAGTTTTTGTTACTTGCTCTTTTTATGGGTCATACTTTCCAATTTCTTTGCATGTGCCATAAATTTTAGATATCATATTTTGGCAACTCAGTGTATTGGTCCAACCACCCTCAACAATAGCTTATTGTTATTTGCTTTTGTTTGTTTGTTTCTTGACTGGCTGGATTATTTTGATATACTCCATAACCCCCAACCCCCTTTAGTTTGGAATATATGATATAACCCCCAACCCCCTTTAGTTTGGAGTATATGATATTGTTCCTCGAGAAGTACAGCCTTGGTTATGCCCATATCACCCAGAGTGACAGAGGTTTTGGGTTAGGGTTAGGGTTAAGATACTGGGAAGCTGAGTCAGGAAGGAAGTGAGGACATAGGTGATATAGAAGATAGGAGAGATGGAGTGGTAGTAAAAATATGGGAACCTTATACAATCAGTGGAAAAGGACAGAAACCAGGGTAGGTCTGAGAATTTAGATATTAACTCACTACCTCTGGGGTGAGTCAACTTTAGCCCTTCTCTTTTTATCTCTTTTCTCATGATTTATATTCTTTCCCCCTTTTTAATTGGTGCATTATAATAGTACATGATTGTGAGATTTGTTATTACACATTCATACATGCACACAATATAGCAATATAATTTGGCCAGTATCATTCACGATTCATGCTCTCTTTTTTGCAGAGATGAGGGAGGGTATTGAGGATTGAACTCAAAGGCATTCAACCACTAAGCTACATCCCAAGCCCTATTTTGTATTTTATTTAGAGACAGAGTCTCACTTAGTTGCTTAGCACCTCATCATTGTTGAGGCTGGCTTTGAACTCAAAATCTTCCGGCCTTAGCCTCCTAAGCTGCTGGGATTACAGGCGTGCACCACTGTACCTGCTGATGATTCACATTCTTGGTAGAGAAAGCAGTTAGTCAGAAGCTCACTCCTAAATCAAGGGGACAAGAGGGAGGGCATTAATTAGAGGAATTTGCTTGATTGGAAGATGAAGTTAGGATTTGAAGTTTGCCTGTAATGTTAAAAAAAAAAAAAAAAAAGAAGTCCTGCTATTCTCTAGTTTCTCTTTTTTTATAAAGGTAATACTACTTGCCTAGTATGTATATTGTCATATAGAATCTTTACATGCTTTGAAAGTATTATGAAATTTAGAAGTAGTGCAATTAAACTAAGATATCAATAACCTCTTAGTGGTTACAACTGCCAGTGAATTTCTTTGTGAAACCACATTCAAAATTTAGGAAAAAATTCAGAGATTCTGTCCAACCTTAAAAGTATACTTAAATGATAAAGTTCAAAGAAAATAACTTACAGGATAATAAATGTATACATATATTAAGCCAGACAATAGATGCTCTGCAAAGTTTTGAGTTGATCTTGTCTCTTACCAAAGCTTATTGAGGGCTGGGGATTTAGCTCAGTTGGTAGAGTGCCTGCCTCGAATCCCCAGCACCACAGTAAATAAATAAACAAATAAATAAAGGTATTGTATCCATCTTAAAAAAAAAAAAAAGAAAACCCAGCTTATTGAATTGTTGCAAATAATTGAATTAACTTTTTGAGTTGGAAAGGCTGAGGAGATTTATTGTCATGGCTAGATTTACACCATGTTCTATATTAGTTGTAGAATTTTTTTTTTTAAAGAGAGAGTGAGAGGGGAGAGAGAGAGAGAGGGAGGAGAGAGAATTTTTAATATTTATTTTTTTTTTAATTCTCGGCGGACACAACATCTTTGTTGGTATGTGGTGCTGAGGATCGAACCCGGGCCGCACGCATGCCAGGCGAGCGCGCTACCACTTGAGCCACATCCCCAGCCCCTAGTTGTAGAATTTTGTTCTACATTAATTCCTGATGTTGAGGTTATAGGTTGTTACCAGAAAGCCTACCCATAGTGGAAAGGATATGGTGGCTGCTCCTAAGAAAAAAAGAAAAATTCACTTTCAGTAGCATTCTTACACTATTAAATTAGGGGTGTTCAACCTCTAGTGATAAGGGGTAGTGACTAAGGAGGAATAAAAGCAAATATTATAAATACATTATAAATGTTTTGTAAATACAAATTTTATATTGTAATATCTCTAGTTTTGCTAATTATCTTTTTTAAAAATTTTTGTACACCTTTATTTTATTTATTTATTTTTATGTGGTGCTGAGGATCGAACCCAGGACCTTGCATGTGCTAGGCCAGTGCTCTACCACTGAGCCACAACCCCTCTCCGCTAATTATTTTGATGCAGAATTCCTTCATTGACATTCATTTCCTTCATTTGTTTTGGTGAAATTGGCATAATGCATAAGAACAGTATTTTACTAGATAGTCAAAAATTGTTTTGTTCCAGGGCATGTAATTAATCATGTAATGTATCTTCATGAGTTTAATAGTGATTAATAATGGTAGGATTCTATTGCTTTTTGTCTGTTTTCTTTTTTGATATCTATATCTTGCCTCTGTCAATTTATTTCAGAATGATGTAAAAATGTTATTGAAAGTGAATTTTTCTTGTTTTCATAGGAGCAGCCACCATATCCTGGCTACAGTTCTAACTACTGGAATTCTCCTGCACGACCTAGGGCCCCATACCCAAGTACATATCCTATCAGACCAGATTTGCAAGGCCAGGTATGGTTGAAAATTGACAAACTTTCTGAATTTGTCCTTAACGAATCAATTAGTTTCAGAACTTGTGGAAATTTCATAGTGGTAATATGTGAGCTTTGTTTTAATTTTTAATTTAATGGGTTCCATCAGTTTCATTAGTATTTAATTTATTTATTTATTTTTGTGTTACTGGGGGTTTTACCCAGTACCTCATGTATGTTGATAAGGAACATATTATCTACAGATCTAGGCACATATTATCTACAGCAAAGGTAACTTGAGGCAGAGTAAATTACTTCTCAGAATCAGGAAAAAACATATATAAAATGTACATGTATTTAAAAAATGTACATATTTTAAAAATTTTTATTTATGACAAATATTTCATTATAAATATTTGAAGTTTATACTAAGAGTACAGAAAATATATATATCTTTTTAGCTACAATACCTTGCTTTATCAATTTTTAATTTTACCAGAGTTCATATTAAAAAAAATACAATTAAAGCTCCTTATGACACTCTTCCCATTTCCTTAAATTATATTTATTATCCTCTTTCTGTTTTTATGCTTTTATACTTGTATTTATATCCATAAACTTTATGTAGTATTATTTAACATGTTTTTAAACTTTGAGTAGTTTCACATTAACCTTTTGCAGCTTCCTTCTTTTTGCTCAGATTTTTATTTTTCTATTGTACATATATGAGACAAGAATTTCTCTAGGGTGTGGAATTGTTGGGTTTTGGTGTGTATATCTTTATTAGGTATAGCAAATTACTTTTCATAGTGTTTGTACCAGTGAAAAAAATTTAAGTATCATCCATAATCTTGCTGTCCTAACAATAATTGTCAGTTTTTTTTTCTATCTAGATACCGTATTTCTGTATGTAAGTAATTTTTAAGGAATACAATTGCAATATGTAGTTTTAAAGCAGCTGCATTTAAGCAGCCTTCAAATGAGTACCTAGAACTTTAGATCCAGATTAGAATTGTCTATAAACTGACTTTCTCTGCAGAATTAGTCTTCTGATGGGTTTTTAGGTAGTCAAATATATGTTTGTCTCTTTAAATTTACTAGTGGAAGCTGAAATAGTGGAAATACATTTTCTTTAAAGGGCTGAATAATTAATTCAGTTTTAAAAAACCTGCAGGAGAATTCCACGTTCAAGGCCAGCCTGGACAACTTAGTAAGGCCCTGTCTCAAAGTAAAATTTAAGAAGTCTGGGGATGTAGCTCACACCCCTAGTATGATGAGGCCCTAGTATCTGGTAGAATATACCCCTAGTATAAGGAGGCTCTGGTAACTGGTACCTCAAAAAAGAAAAAAAAAAAAAAAGAAAAGAAAAATCATATCACTCATTTTCCTTCTGGTTGCCTCCTCATATTAATCTTGCCTCACAATCATTCTTTTTGGTGTGTTTTATAAATCTTAAAATCTCTAATTAAAAATAGTTTTAATAAACCAAGAATGTATAATTTTTTTATTGATTTTATTATTTTTTTTAAATACACGACAACAGTAGAATGCATTACAATCCTTATTACACATATAGAGCACGATTTTTCATATCTCTGTATATAAAGTATGTTCACGTCAATTTATGCCATTATACATGTACTCTTTTTTTTGCATTCAATCTTAATACACATATATATATATATATCTCACAATTTTTCATATTTCTGTTTGTATATAAGGTATGTTGATACCCAGTTCAAGTCTTCGTACATGTACTTTGTATAATGATGACCATCACATTCCACCATCCTTGCTAATCCCCTTCCACCTCTTTCCCATACCTCTTCCCTATCTAGAATTAATCTAATCCTCCCATGCTCTCCCTCCCTACCCCACTATGAGTCACCCCCCTTATATCAGAGAAAATATTCGGCATTTATTTTTTGGGATTGGCTGACTTTACTTAGCATTATCTTCTCCAACGCCATCCATTTACCTGCAAATGCCATGATTTTGTTCTTTTTTAATGCTGAGTAATATTCCATTATGTATAAATGCCACATTTTTTTTTATCCATTCATCCACTGAAGGACATCTAGATTGGCTCCACAGTTTAGCTATTGTGAATTGTGCTGCTATAAACATTGATGTGGCTGTGTCCCTGTAGTATGCTGTTTTTAAGTCCTTTGGGTATAGTCCGAGAAGAGGAATAGCTGGGTCAAATGGTGGTTCCATTCCCAGATTTCCAAGGAATCTCCATACTGCTTTCCGAATTGGCTGTACCAATTTGTAGTCCCACCAGCAATGTATGAGTGTACCTTTTTCCTCACATCCTGGTCAACACTTGTTGTTTATCTTCATAATAGCTGCCATTCTGACTGGAGTGAGATGATATCTTAGAGTAGTTTTGATTTGCATTTCTCTGATTGCTAGAGAAGAATGCATAATTTAGATACCTCAGAAAGCTGGGAATGGAACCACCATTTGACCCAGCTATCCCCCTTCTTGGTCTATTTCCCAAAGACCTTAAAAGAGCCTATTATAGGAATACAGCTACATTGATGTTCATAGCAGCACAATTCACAATAGCTAGACTGTGGAACCAACCTAGATGCCCTTCAATAGATGAATGGATAAAAAAAAATGTGGCGTTTATACACAATGGAGTATTAATCAGCATTAAAAAATGATAAAATCATGACATTTGCAGGGAAATGGATGGCATTAGAGCAGATTATGCTAAGTGAAGCCAGCCAATCCCTAAAAAACAAATGCCATATGTCTTCTTTGATGTAAGGAGGGCAACTAAGAACAGAACAGGGAGGAAGAGCATGAGAAGAAGATCAACATTAAACAGGGATGAGAGGGGGGAGGGAAAGGGAGAGAGAAGGGAAATTGCATGGAAAGGGAAGGAGACCCTCATTGTTATACAAAATTACATATAAGAGGAAGTGAGGGGAAAGGGAAAAAAAAGAGAGAAATGAATTACATAGATGGGGTAGAGAGAGAAGATGGGAGGGGAGGGGGGATAGTAGAGGATAGGAAGGGCAGCAGAATACAACATACACTAGTATGGCAGTATGTAAAAAAGTAGATGTGTAACCGATGTGATTCTGCAATCTGTATACGGGCTGAAAATGGGAGTTCATAATCCACTTGAATCAAATGTATGAAATATGATATGTCAAGAGCTTTGTAATGTTTTGAACAACTACTACTAATAATAATAAATATACTTTACAAAAAAAGAATGCATAATTTCTTGTTTGTGTTTTTTGAGTTGTCTTTGAGACATTCTGAAATTGGTCATTGTCTCATCCTTAGCAAACATGTTAACTGCGAAGTTGATAGGTGGTATTCTGACTCCGTATTGTTATTAAACATGCATGTTGCAAGTAGTGATCCCTGGACACAGTAGTTATTTGGAGAAAGTAGTTATAAACTCACAAAGAGATCAAAACCAGGAAGTAATTTTTATAATGAACATAAAGGGCTGGGCATGGTTGCATGCATCTGTAATCCCAGCCACTCTGGAGGCTGTGGCAGGAGGATTTTGAGTTCAAAGCCAGCCTCAACACTTGGCAACTCAGTGAGATCCTGTCTCTAAATAAAATATAAAAAAGGGCTGGGGATATGGCTCAATGGTTAAGCATCCCTGGGTTCAATCCTCAGTGCCAAAAAAAAAAAAAAAATTAAGTACTGTAGTTAGGAGCTCCATAAGACAAAAATTGGAATAGCTCTTTAAATTGAGATATTACTTGAGAGAGCAACCAGTGGATGATGGTAGATTTGGTAGTTCCAAAAACAAGTGTTAGTGAAAATTCAAGGTGATGTTAACTGCTGATAATTATGAAGTCTTGGAATACTTTTGTGGTAAAATTTTCCGTATTTTTCACGATAAGCACAACAGGAAGAATTGTGATACTGCTAGGGGAAATCATTTTTTGCTTAGCTCACATCTGTCTGCACTTTTATAGTCATATACCAAATAGCAAGGGAATCTCAACAGCCTTTTTCTGGGCAAGAAACTTGACCATTTTTCTTCCATATTTACACAATAATCCATCAACTTGGAAACCAACTTTAGTAAAAAGTATTTTATATCAGACAATCTTTAGCTTGCATTGAGATGGCAAATAGTGAGATGTCTTTTGGCTGTTAAATTGTTACCATTTGGGGTTGCTTGGTTTGTTGTCTGGGTTCCTTGTCTCCTTTCAGTAAAGAATTGAAGAACAGGTTTCAGATMGCAAACAAGAAGTAGGTTTATTGCAAAAGTGACAGAGATACAGCCATAGACTTCTCTGAAAAGAAGGGGCCCTAACCCTGGGAATCTGGTGGAGGAGTTTTGGCCTGTTCTTTTTATGGTCCATGAAATTTCCTCCTTTCCTTATCTACTCTCCTGTCCATGGGCCCTTCATTATTATTGATTGGTGCCTCCTGTGTCCATGCATCTCTTTTAGTTTTTCTCTTGGGTCCCCTATTTAAAAGCACAAGTACCAAATTGTCTGATTGGATTCCCTGCTTGTGTCTACAAGCACTTTTGTCAAGCAGGAAGTTGACCTCATCAGAAGACCCTCTCCATGCTCCTTTGTTCTGGCCTTGCCCTGACCTCCTCACTTACTGTCTTGCCCTGGCTGCCTAGATCTTCTACCTCTTCCTTAAAATTATGTCTTGCATTTTGTCCTAGAGTAAGAGCATTAGTTGTAATTTATCAGAATTTTGAGAGTGCTGATTTTGATTTCTTTTGGAATCCAGAATGGTACTTCAAAGTAAACTATCTGTGGGGAGCCACTCTGAATGATCCGGGTCTTCCATCTTGGAGCAGAGAGGCTTTGACCATCACTACCTCTCTGGTCCTGGAAGTTTGAGGACAAGTTCAGACATAGGCGTCGCCCTACAGCCCTTGGGTCGAATTACATTCACATGCTCTTTGTAACTCCTCCCCTTCTTATAAGAATGAGGGTTGGGGCTGGGGATGTGGCTCAAGTGGTAGCGCGCTCGCCTGGCATGCGTGTGGCCCGGGTTCGATCCTCAGCACCACATACAAACAAAGATGCTATGTCTGCCGAAAATTAAAAAATAAATATTAAAGTTCTCTCTAAAAAAAAAAAAAAAAAAAAAGAATGAGGGTCCTCCCAGTAAAAGCCCATTTCCAAATGTGCTTGTGCGCTCTCTCGCCACACTGTCATGACTATCCCTCGATCTCCCCTTTGGGGGGCTTGAGGCTGAAAGCAGAGGAGCAGTCCTGAAGTTTGTTTAAAGGTAAAGTGTCTGTGTTTTATTTGGTGTTCCTGGAAATTCACATGAGCGACCTTAAATTCAGCTGTCCCCGTGGGTCAGGAGTGGCAATTATCAAAGAAGATTTTATTTAATTCTTGTGATTTGCTCAGTTTTAGATTGCATATTACCATATCAACTGACAAGTTTCCAATTAAAAGTTGTCTTGCTGGATGAGTGACACATGCCTAAAATCCCAGCAACTCGGTAGGCTGAGTCAGGAGAATTGCAAGTTTGCAGCTAGCCTCAGCAACTTAGTGAGACCCTGCCTCAAAATTAAAAATGAAAAGTTCTGGGAGTGTAACTCAGTGAATGTCTCTGGGTTCAGTGCCAGTACAAAAACAAACAAAAAACTTTCTGTCCTTATACACAGACTGCCTTCATTAAAATAATCTACTTGGATATCAAGGAAATAGCTAGGGTCGTAGCAGCCAACTGGATTTTAGCCATATCTGAGATTTTATATAATATTTTTAAGTGTAAACTTTGTTTACTCTAAAAAGTAATGTAGCTTTATTATTAAAATTTGGGGCTGGGCATGGTGGCACATGTGTGCCATCCCACCCAGATCCTTGGTAGGCTGAGGCAGGAGGATGAAAAGTTTTAGGCCAGCCTTGGCAAATTAGCAAGACCCTGTCTCACACTAAAATTTAAAAAAGGATTGGAAGCCAGGAACGATGGTTCATGCCTGTAATCCCAGCAATTTGGGAGGCTGAGGTAGGAGGATCACAAGTTAAGACAGCCTCAGCAGTTTAGTAAGCAATTTAATGATTCTTTTTTTTTTTTTAAAGAGAGAGAGAATTTTTCAATATTTATTTATTTTTTTTTAGTTTTCGGTGGACAGAACATCTTTTGTTTGTATGTGGTGCTGAGGATTGAATCCGGGCCGCACGCATGCCAGGCGAGTACGCTACCACTTGAGCCACATCCCCAGCAATTTAATGAATCTTTAAAAAAAAAAAAAAAAAAAAGAAGGAGCCAGACGCCACCAAGCAACTCAGACCCTGTCTCTAAACAAAATACAAAAAAGGGCTGGGGATGTGGCTCAATGGTTGAGTACTCCTGAGTCCAATCCCCACTACCACAAAAAAAAAAAAAAAAAAAAAGAAAAAGGAAAAAAGTAGGAGAGGACTGGGAATCTACCTCAGTGGTAAATCACATGCCTACCAAGCATTAGGCCCTGGATTTAACAAAGAAGAAGAACAAAAAAATTGGAAACTAGGGAGAGGAGAAAAAATACTGCTTGTGCCATCTTAATATATTCATATTTTGAAAAATTTCTTTTTTTCCCTATCATGTTTACACAGCTTTAAATGATTATACACTTTTTCATTTAGCACTTTAGTTGCCCTGTGCACTTGCCATGTTAATAATAGGGCGCAATATCAAGAACATTCTTTTTAATATTTAAAAAAAAATTTTAGACGTTGATAGACCTTTATTTTATTTATATATTTATATGTGGTGCCGAGAATCCAACCCAGTGCCTCACACATGCTAGGCAAGTGCTCTACCATTAAGCCACAACCCCAACCCCTCTCTTTTTAATATTAATGTAATTTTCAAACAGAAGTAGTAAGAATAGCATAAAAAATGCCTRTGTGTCCATCTTTCAGCTTTGATTATTAATCCTTGACTATCATGTATTTATCTTTGGAGCATTTCTTTAGAGTACTTTGAAGAAATTCCAGATGTCAAACTGTATAACTTGTAAATAAACTTAAGTATGTTTATTTAAAATATAAGGACTTTTGGGGTGGGTATTGGGGATCGAATTCAGGGGCACTCAACCACTGAGCCCCAGCCCTTTTTTGTATTTTATTTAGAGACAGGGTCTCACTGAGTTTCTTTGCGCTTCATTTTTGCTGAGGCTGGCTTTGAACTCTGAATCCTTCTGCCTCAGCCTCCTGAGTCGCTGGGATTATAGGTGTGCACCGCAGCACCCAGCAAGGACTTTTTAAATTTTTTTTTAAGTTGTCAGTGGACCTTTATATGTGGTGCTGAGAGTTGAACCCAATGCCACACACATGCTAGGCAAATGCTTTGCAACTGAGCCACAACCCCAGCCAAGGACATTTTGAAAACATAACCACAATGCTAATACCACCAGTTACCTGTGACAAGTTCTGCTCTCTCAAATGCTGAAGATTGAACATTAGTTAAGCATGCTGAGGCAAGCATATAAAGCAGGGTTTATTTAAAAAGGGTAACAGAGACTTCTCCCAGGAAGGTGAAGGGGGCCATGGCTGGTATCCTGGTATCCCAAGAAGTGAGGTGTTCTGTGCTTTTTATATGTCTTAGGCCTCCTTTGTTTTTCTGCCTTTTCCCCCTTTCTCCTTCCTGTTACAGGACTACCCGCCCCCTGCCCCCCAATACTTGGTGGGAGGGCCTAAAGATGGGAAACAGGTGTGGTGAAAGGGAGAAGGGCCGGATGGTACAGCCCAGGACACTCTTTATAGCTCCCTGTAGGGAGGGGCAATTCCTGGGACAGGTTACCTTAGCAACATTTTGGAGCAGGGGCAAGTTCTAGATAAGGGTGGAGGGAAGGACTCCAAAGGAATTAACATTTAATTCTTCTGGGACAGTCTCCAACTTCTGGGGACTCACTCAAAATTGGCCTAACTTGATCTGACCTGATTCGATTTACCTATCCAATCAGGTATATTGTGTGGTATATTAAGGAGTTCTTTGTTTAGACTGAAAGCTTAAGAGCTTCTTAGTAGCTTTAACAAAGAGGTGGTTCATTGCCCTTCTGGTCAGGGAATGTATTGCTGGCTCTTCCCTTGTATCTGACCCTGCGAGGAATTCTTTGAAATTCCTTGTCTGTTCTCAAACCTAAAGAAAGAATGATTAGTCTTAGAGACAGAGGTGAACACAGCAAAACTTGATTCTGGGTTTTTACTGTTTTTAAAAGGTAAAGTAGAAATTAGTAGAAAACATTAAGGTGATCATTTAAATTTAGATTTTAGCTTTACTCTCATTTGAATTATAAACTGAGGGTTCTTGTACTAGTAATAGTCTAGATAAGTGATTTAAAACTACAGTTAAGGAAGGCTGGGAATGAAGCTTAGTGGTAGAGTGCTTGCACATGACATTAGATTCAAATCCCAGCTCTGCAAACAAAATCAAAAACCATGGCAGTAAGCAGTGTATGAGGAATGTATCTCTGTTATCTGTTATTGATATTATCTGGGTAATAGAGTAATGGTATGGTATCAAAGAACATGGACTTTGGAGTCAGATTTGGTTTATTTCTTTATCTTGCCATAATAATACTAACAACAATAAGATAAATAATTTTCCATTTATTGAGTATACTTTGTATCAGATACTAAGTCTTAATTTATGTCATGTCATTTAATTTTCATATTAACCCTGCAAGAAAAGTTTATGGTCTTCATTTTTCCTATTGGAGAAACTGAAACTAAGAGCAGTTAAATATAAAGTCTGTGGTATAGCTGGGTCTTTCTCTATAGTCTCTCTTCCTCTTACATCATGGTCTTCCTTCTCTCTCTGGAATTCTCTCAAGTTTCCCACAATTCCCTCCTCAGTCAGTCAGTCAGTTCTCCTCTGCTGTTATGTTATTGTCAGGTATACTTAAGGCAATGTTTAAGAAGCACTGCTCTAAGGTCATCACAATATACATGTATCATTCCATTGTTACATGGGCTCTACAGTTCAGTCTATGGAATATTATTTTAATAGAAGAGAGAAAGAATATGTTACAGATTGGTTAGGGAGTTTGTATTTTCATTAGTTATTGATTTCTTCCTAAAATTTTCAACATTGGGCATTCAGTTAGGGCATTTCAGTTCTTCAGCTCTTCTACCCATTTTATCTTTTTTCTCTCAATTTTGCTTTTTTTTCAGAGTTTGAATTCTTATACAAATGGAGCATATGGTCCACCATATCCCCCAGGCCCTGGGGCAAATACTGCCCCATATTCAGGGGCTTATTATGCACCTGGCTATTCTCAGACCAGTTACTCTACAGAAGTTCCAAGCACTTATCGATCACCTGGCAACAGCCCAACCCCAGCCTCTCGTTGGATGTATCCCCAACAGGACTGTCAGACTGAAGCGCCCCCTCTTAGAGGGCAGGTTCCAGGATATCCTGCTTCACAGGTGAGCAGTTTTCTGTAGGAAAAATTTCAAAGTCTTTGCTTCTTGAATTGTAAACAGTGGAAGGGTGTTTATTTATATTAGTGCTTATTTAAGAAAACGCTGAAGGTGGTCAGAAGTTTTCCAGAGGTGAAGGCAGGGACTTCTTTTATATTGGATGCCTTTCTTTCTTGTAGTAACTATTTCAATAAATAGTTGAAGGTACCTTAAAGATGTCATAATCAGAAAATTTTTAAAGTGAAAGATTTTTTTTTTTTTTTTTTTTTTGTGATGGTGTGGTACTGGTATTGAACCCAGGGGTACTTTACCACTGAGCTACATCCCCAGCCCTTTTTACTTATTAATTTTTTTTGGTACCAGGAATTGAACCCAAGGATGCTCAACCACTGAGCCATGTCCTCAGTCCTTTTTTATTTTATTTACTTAAAAATATTTATTTTTTAGTTTTAGGTGGACACAGTATCTTTTTTTAAAAAATTGTTTTAATTAATTACACATGACAGTACAATGATCTGGACATATCATCATTTGAATCAGATGGGATATAATTTCTCAATTTTCTGAGTGTACAGGTTGTAGAATTACATTGGTCATGCAGTCACGTATATACCCACAGCAATAATAATGTCTATTTTATTCTGTTGTCCTTCCATTTCCCCCTCCCCCTCCCTTCTCCTCCCATCACTTCTCTCTACCCAATCTAATGTGACCCACTTCTTTTTTTTCCCCTTCACATCTTCATACCTGTATTCTGTATAATGAAAGGGGTCTTCTTCCCTCTTCCATGCAATTCCCATTCCTCTCTTCCCTATCTAGAGGTAATTTTCTTCTCATGCTCTTCTTCCCTACCCCATTTCGAGTCACCTCCCTTATATCAGAGAAGACATTTGGCTTTTGTTTTTTTGGGATTGGCTAACTTCACTTGGCATAATCTGCTCTAATGCCATTCATTTCCCTGCAAATGCCATGATCTTGTTATTTTTTTAGTGCTGAGTAATATTCCATTGTGTATAAATGCCACATTTTTTTATCCATTCATCCATTGAAGGGCATCTAGGTTGGCTCCACAGTCCAGCTACTGTGAATTGTGCTGCTATAAACATTGATGTGGCTGTGTCCCTATGCCATTTTTAGGTCTTTTGAGTATAGTCCGAGAAGAGAAATAGCTGGGTCAAATGGTGGTTCCATTCCCAGTTTTCCAAGGAATCTCCATACTGCTTTCCAAATTGGCTGCACCAGTTTGCAGTCCCACCAGCAATGTATGAGTGTACCTTTTTCCCCCACATCCTTGCCATCCTTGTTGTTTGACTTCGTAATGGCTGCTGGTCTTACTGGAGTGAGATGGTATCTTAGAGTAGTTTTAATTTGCATTTCTCTGATTGCTAGGGATGGTGAGCATTTTTTTGTGTATTTGTTGATTGATTGTATATCCTCTTCTGAGAGAAATGTCTACAATATCTTTATTTTACATTTATGTGGTGCTGAGGATCGAACCCAGTGCCTTATGCTTGCTAGGCGAGCGCTCTTACCACTGAGCCACAACCCCAGTCCCCCCTTTTTTTAATTTAGAGACATAATCTCACGGAGTTGCTAACTGCCTCACTAATCTGGTGAGGCTGACTTTAAACTTGAGATCCTCCTGCCTCAGCCTCCTGAGTTGCTGAGAATACATGTGTGTGCCACCGCACCCGGCTTTATTTTTAATTTTGAGACATGCTTTTGGTAAATTGCTGAGGCTGTCCTCGAATTTGTGACCCTCTTGCTTCAGTTTCCCAAGTTGCTGGAATTCTAGGTGTGCCATTGTGCCTGGCAAAATAAATTTTTAGAGAATTGTTTAAAAGTTTCCTAGTTTTAACCTTTTTTTGGTGTGCTATTAGATTTATATTTTTATTTATTTTATGAATGATACCATGTTTAGGGCTGGGGATGTGGCTCAGGCGGTAGCGCGCTTGCCTGGCATGCATGTGTGCGGCCTGGGTTCGATCCTCAGCACCACATACAAACAAGGATGTTGTGTGCGCCGAGAACTAAAAAATAAAAAATAAATAAATATTAAACAATTCTCTCTCTCTCTCTCTCCCTCCCTTTCTCTCTCTCTTTAAAAAAAAAATGATACCATGTTTATTTCTCTGTTCAGTTTAAGAGGATTTCTAATATATCTTTATTTGTGCTTCCTTATAACATGGGATCATTTGATTATAGTGTCTATGGACAGATTTATACTATACTTCAGTAATTGAATTTTAGGCCTTATTCTTTCTAGTTTGATCATCACCAAATCTTTCCTCGATATAACTGGAACAGGTTTTTTTCAGGCTTGTAGTAATTATGGCAACTAATTAGAGTTCCTAGCATCCTAGAATTTGCCAATAATATTTTCATTACTTTTAGTTTTTTTAGAATGACCAGCATATTTTTTCCTCTCAATCTAGAACCCCGGAATGACCCTGCCCCATTATCCTTATGGGGATGGTAATCGTAGTGTTCAGCAGTCAGGACCAACTGTACGACCACAAGAGGATGCATGGGCTGCTTCTCCTGGTGCTTATGGGATAGGCACCCGCTACCCCTGGCCTTCAGCTGCGCCCTCAGTACCACCTGGGAATCTCTACATGACTGAATCAACTTCATCATGGCCTAGCAGTGGCTCTCCTCAGCCACCTCCTTCACCACCACCCCAGCAGTCCAAGGTAGGAGACCTAAGTGTTGTTCTTTTTGCTCTCTGGGTAATGAAGAAAGCTCAAGGGGCCAAGGTTGTGGCTCAGTGGTGAGTGCTTGCTTAGCATGTGTGAGGCACTGGGTTCGATCCCAGGCACCACATAAAAATAAACAAATAAAATGAAGGTATTGTGTCCATCTATGACTAAAAAAAATAAAAAAAAAAGCTCAAGATTTAACTTTTCTCCATTGGTGTGTGTTAAATGGGGACTAATTATGAAAATTTGGTGACTACTTCCTGTAGCTTTTGTTGGTTGTTCAAAACATTACATAGTTCTTGATACATCATATTTCACAGTTTGATTCAAGTGGGTTATGAACTCCCATTTTTACCCCATATACAGATTGCAGAATCACATCAGTTACACATCCACTGTTTCACATATTGCCATTCTAGTGTCTGTTGTATTCTGCTGCCTTTCCTATCCTCTACTATCCCCCCTCCCCTCCCCTCCCCTCCC